CCCCCTGTCGCTGAGGTCTCGTTGTCTTGGCCCGGTGGTGGTGGTGGGTACAGCAAAAGATGATGCGGCATCTTTACACTAGGAATCCGAAGCTTACGGCGCTTTCCTTGATGCGCTCCTGGATCTCTGTCAGATCAGTCTTGTCATCGAAGTCCGGAAGCTCTTCCGCTTCCGCTCCATGGCTTTGACATGGCTCTTAAAGAGAGAGGATTTGTTGGTCTCCCCATCGATAATCCCGGCGTGGATAGCCTGCAGGCGGCGCGTCGCCGTCCGCATAGCTGAGTCAGCAAGCGTAGCAACGAATGTCGATGACAGCGTGCTCCCAGGCTGTTCCTCAAGAACCCCCCAAGGGTTGACGTCGACAGGGCCGAGGTGTGCCCTGCGACCGCGTGCTTGACGGACGGCGCCAGAAGGGCACCGATTGGGGCAGCGGAAGCTATCTTGCTGCACGGAGGCCTGTGCGGAGATGGTAGGGTCCATCGCGGACCCTGTTCTTGGCTTCTTCATTGAGTGGCAGGCACAGATTGCACTTGGCCCAACACTCGCCCTTGATGCTCTGCACCTCATGCATTTTCCACCCGCAGACCATAAAGTATGGCAGGTTGGGAAGATTGTTCTCGGCCATGCGAAGCATCACGATCTGCTTATAGGCGCGAGAACGGCGGCACATACTCTTGGAAAGAGAGTAGAAAAGCTTCATCACCATCTCGTCGTCCAATTCCATGCCCTCCTCAGACACATAGTCCTTGCCGTGGACATGCTTGCACACCTCATCGAGCGCATCAGACGCCATTTGCAAGGGCCTTTGTTTTGATCGTGATTTCCGAATTGGCGCCCATGGTGCTGAACTCCCCATTCCGGTTCGGTGCCACGACGCGCGCGCGGCTGAAGGCGTGGATGACGGCCGCCATGAGGAGCTGCCCGGAGCCCTTGTAGAATTTGTTGCCGAACTTGCGGATGGCTTTCTTGTTCTCCTTGGTCTGGAAATCCTCGATGTTCTTCTCGGTGTTCTTGAAGATGAAGGCCGCTGGGTCGAAGACGTCGCTCACTTCGGCAAACACGTCGGTCTTCTTCGAAGAATACGTCGGCGCGCCGCCGATCATCAGCCCGGTCTCAAAGGCTGCTGCGAATAGGCTGGTGAAGAATGTCGGGACCCTTGTCTGACCATGCAGCAAATCTGCATTGTGTGAGATGGTGTTGTTGCGTTGTCTTTGCGCTTTGTACTTTGAGACGCAGACAGGTGTCGAGCTTGTCTTTGCGTGACACTTAGCACATCACGTTTACAATGATGTGGCCGCCGTAGCGGCACTCCCTTTGAGAGCCTAGTTTCGACCAGAAAAAGAAAAAACCTGTACACACGAGTGCACCGCGCTCGCGCGCGAGTGCAAAGACATGGCATGGTACATCCTAAGATGTGGGGGTGAAGCATGTTACAGATTCCTAGCAATGACGGCATAGTGGATATGTGATATCGCAACGTTTGAGATGTGCGAGTGCACGGTCATGGCAGAGGGTGACTGGCCTCTTTCGTGACCATCCGCACCCAGCGAGCGCTCCCCGCCCGCCGGATCTCAACATCCTGCCGCATGTATGTTTCACAGTCCTAACACAATGAAATACACGACGAGCGCGATGTCAGTCTGGCTGTTTTCAGATGTCATGGTCAGGATTTTACGCAGTAAAGAAAGTTGTTTTTTTCTTTCTTTTTATTTCAATCGTCCTCTCTGTTTCTTTATGTTTTCTTTACTTGTTTTTTGTCGTTTTATTATTTCGTTCTTTCTTTCTGTCTCTTCAACTATTATTTTTCTCCATTTGGTGCTCTTTGTTTTTGTTACTGTTGCATTTGCCTTTCTTCTTTTCTTGCTTTCATTCTTCGTTTTCATTCTTGTAGTTCTTTCCTTCTTTTTCATTCTTCTTTCTGTCTATTTGTTTATTTCGACTCTGTTTCGGTCCTTCCTTTCTTTCTTTCCTCTTCTTCCTCGAGCCTCCCCAGCGCCACCCCCCCGCTCTTCGAGACAGCCAAGCCCCAGGCCCCTTTCTTCGATAAAGTGGAGGCTTTTCACTAGAAAAAAACAGAGAAAATAGCTCGTTTCAATGGAGAAAATGGAAGTTTTCCTGCCCTCCCAACACCCCCTCCCCCCCCCCCCCCCCCAAAAAAAAAAAAATCGCGAGGAAAATCAAAAAACGCGACAAAAAACAGGCCCCGCCGTTTCTTTCCGGCCGGGCGCTCCACAGGCTCGGCAAGGAACTAGATTCAACCTAACTGAAACAAAACAAACCGCCGGCGAAACATGCTTGTGCAGGTCCGCTGCAATCGTGGATTGCTGCACCGTCGCGCTTAGAGTGTCGCCATTGGCCAAGCCAGCTGTCTGAAGCGTACAACCATCATCTAGCAGCTGGCCTGCTTCAGGCAGGATGTAGCAAGTCATTGAAGATTGGGTCGACTTGGTTCCCATTCGGGGGAATACAGTAGTTGTTGAGATCGAAAGTGAGTAAATCAGATCAGTCCCGTTCCGACGCTCTGCTCTGGCAAGGGCACCTGCAGATGTGATGAGCGCGGTGATGCCTGATGTTCGGAGCTCCTTGCAATGCGCATCATGCGATGTCACTACAACTTTGCTGGAATTGAGCATTCCCGCCCACTCTCAACTCGTGCCCCCGCCCCTCTCCTTCTGAGCGAGCTTCTTAAACTCTTGGACTGTGCAGTCCTCAGCTCTACTGCCACCACTCTGCTACGTGTTCACCCGTCGCGTGCATCTACTACGACCTTACTGTAAATATCTGGAAATCTGCTAGGACTGCTAGGAGTTTAGGCCAAGCCTCAGGTTGAGTGGCAATGCGAGCCGTTCGGCCGCTGAGCAGTGCCACGCCGACGGCAAAGGACATTAACTTATCGTGGGACCGACACGAGACTGAAGAACCTTTCTCTTTGCTCAACTTCCTGCCTTCTTAAAAACCGCATGGGCAGTTCAAGGGATGCATTTACATCTGATTTTCAGTTGCGTAGTGCCGCGCTATGACAGCTTCAAAGAAATGGCTGCGGCGGCCGAAGGTCATTTGCAACCCCTCAAAAAACTTGTTAACATTGTTTCTGTCCTTGAAGCTCCTTGCCGATTCGCAGTCGCGTCAGGGAGAATGCCTTGTCATGCCTTGTCCACTTTGCCCTCCAAGTGAGGCACGCTCTGCTTGCAAAAGCTCACGTTCACGAAGTAACTCCTCGAACAGCGGACATCCTTTTGCTGAATCTGGCTTGCGGACGGATTTGTGGCGGGCTACAAGCATGCCAAGAGGTCTGCAAACGGTCTTCGCGACGAGCTTGGCAGGCTGGGCGCCTCCTGGACTCGTTGCATCTCTTCCAGCTTCTTGGCCACAAAAGCCTCAGGTTCATGGAGCCCATGCAGGGAGGGTCGATCCCCCAAACACACTGAAATCTCTAAAAATCCTTCTGGTACGGACTGCCTCTACCCATTCAGTGTCATCAAGGCCTTCTTTTTCGGCAGCTGAACATGGCTACCAGAACAGCATGTGATGACAGGCTACCTCCACAACAGCAGAGGGTTCGTGCGCCACTTCCAAGTTGATCTGCGGACGGTTCCTCGCAAAGCGAGCGTGATGCCTACTTGCAGAGGTGTCAAGAATCGAAATATCGTACCCTCAGCATGAAAATGTCCAGCTGAGTCTAGCTTGTGAAGTGAATATATTGCCGGCAAAGTAGTGTGTGTGTGTGTGTGTCAGCACATCACGTTGCTGAAGCGTGCTCTTGCGGACATGCGCACGCAGGTACGTAGACTCCATCCTCCGTCTGCCTCATATGTACCTACTGGAGGCTGTCTCGTCGCATGGCAGTTCACTGAATTCCGAGTGGGCAATCCTGACAAGCTTGGCCCTCTTGCCGAACTCCAGGGAGCAGCGCGTCTCCTGGCAGAGACTTCCGGCAGCGCACACAGCTGCCGACCATCTGTGCCTCAGCCCTCTTGACGCCGCATTCCCCTGGACAATCTCTGAGCAGTCCTCCCGATCAGATGCCTCAGATTCCGCAGCAAGCAAGGGCCACAGATCCGCATAGCAAATCACGGGTGACCAAACTGATACCACAGCGTTCTGCCCAGATGCCTGCACAGAACAGGTGATGATCAGGCAAGTCTTCGAGCTGCCACCGAAACCTGACGGTCGCAACTCAATGAGAGGCATCCTTGGTCTTTACTTTGCAGGTCCAGATTAACGGTAACACATTATTGATGGGTTTGAGTGGAATCTGAACACTTGCGAATTTCGCTTGGATGGCTTGAAATTATGTCAACGAGAACAGTTGTCACATGTCACTCAACCACTCCAAACTCTGAGACTCCGAGTTTGCTTGGGGGGCCAAGAGGCTCTCGGCTAGGAGGCGTGTCAGCATCGAGTCTCGGTATGGCACCAGCCTAGCAAATGGAGAGCGGGATGAAGCCCCCTCTGTGTCCATATTGCAACCCTACTCCCCCCCCTTTAGGCACCGGGCTGCATGGAAGAGCCATTTTGGCTCGTCAGGCGCTGGATGACCAAGGCCAGCTGCGAAAGCGACCTCTTGGAAAGAGCACGGCGATGCAAAGCGCGAAGCAAGCAGACGAAGTCCGAATCTCCTTTCGTGCTCAGGGAACCTGAGTATTGTCGAGTTTCTATGACAGACATCCTGCAAGACGGGCAGGCATTGAACTCTGGGACCTGTATCCATGCAGCCTCTAGCTCGAACAAGCCATAACGCCTGAACGAATGCCAACAGCAACCTTCTTCAGCGAGCACTGCCCATGAACTTACCCAGACCCAGAATACCAAAACAGCCGACCTCACAAAAGCATACGAACTCGCAACGAATTCTGGGTTCGGGGCTTGTTGATCTCGCCCGCTTCCCGGCGCTGGTCTCGAGGGGTTCGGAGCCTCTCAAGGCGAAGTTGGAATGGAAGCCCATTCATGCCCATTCATGCCCATTCGCAGCCACCCGCAGCCTCTTGAGTATTCCTTTTTTATGTTAGGGAAGATAGATGCGGTCGCCGCCACCTCTGAGCCCGAGGCCCTGAGCCACTTCCGCGGCGTGTTAGAGTGGGACCTGGCATGGGGTGCCCCTGTTGCTGCTGGGCACCACTCGCAGAGCGTTTTTTATGGACAGTTACACCAGCTTTGCCAAGCTTTCGTTGGAGCACTAGCTCTGCATTTCTTCTGTCTTGAGTATGACCGTTGACGGCACGCATCATGCGTTGACACACGGACAAAAAAACGGAATCAACACAGAACTCAGCACCGACAAGCTGGTGCTGACTCATACACCGTTAGAAGTTCTCCCACCTCGCGGTGAAGCAAAGTCCGTGGACATCGACCTGCGGTGGGCATGCTTGCAGTGCGCTATGTTGACAGCTGGACCTGCAATCAATACTCATCGATACAGTACTGCTCTCTGAGGCCAAGTCCGTTTCAGTCGCTCACTGCCGGCCAAGTCCACTAAATGAAGCCTTCAAGCTTGGCATAGCTTGGGAGCAAGCCAAAGCTACACCATGCTGCGCCGCATCCAACATCCCATGCTCGGCCAGCAGTGTTCCCATCGAGACACATCCGGCCTGCCGCGAAGCGTTGCCCCGATCTCGGGGTCCCGCTGCGTGGCGGTCAGCGTAAAGATCAGATGCGACCTGGCATGCAAGCCCGAGACAAAGTAGGCGTAGACTCTGCACATGTATCTCAGTGCTCTGAGCCCTTGTGCCTGCTGCTGTGGTGGTTCATGTCAGTCCGCGCAGTCTCCTGGCAGGTGGCAGTACAGAGAATGCTGTAGCTGCACCAGCACTGGGAAGCTCCAGGACATGCAACTTCACAACAAAAGCCCATCCCAGAATCGTCGCAGGCGCGGCCCTGCGCTTCATGCCTTCGGCCAGGGCTGCTAAAGCCTCCTCAGGTGAGGAAGCCTCGCAACATCAAAGCAAAGCTCGAACTGTGTCATCGCAGCATATGACAACACGGTGGAGAGGTGCCAACAGGTTCTTGCCTGCAGATGCAGTAAAAAAAGCCATGCTAAGGTCTCGCTACAGACATTGTGACCGGCGTTTCACACTTCAAGAGGCCTGCCGCCTCACAGCGTCTGGGCAGCGAAAGCTGGCACCTGAAAAGGCACCCTCAGCATGTTCTGCTACCGTCTCCCATGCCTTTCTCAGGCTGTGGAACGGCGACCCAGTGCAATGCAACTCAGTTCTGGTCTTGCGATTCGGCACAAGAACCCTGGTTACACGCGGACAGTCAAAGTTTGAAAGTAACAGCTTTGTGCCAAACCTTCGTGATCTCCACGAACTTCGTGAACGTCAACCTCAGTATATAAGCAAATCGGGAGGGACACGGTGACATGCGCGTCGTGCAGAGTGTGAGCTCCATGCGGCTCCGTGCGGCTTCAGTGGATTTGGGGGGGGGGGGGGGGGGGCGGGGGGTACAGGTACTCTACAGTTACAAAACAAATTGCATAGTACTGAGGTTTGCAGACATGTACAGTATTGTACAACTGTACAGCATTGTACAGTATTGTGATTCTACAGTATTGTGTGCAATAATTCGCAGGCGTGAGCTCGTAAGAGCCACGCCAGTGCGCTCGGAATATGTCCAGCTGCACATTGTGGCGTACGTCAACTTCGAGACAACACCGAAGCATGACCGCATGTACAAGCATGTAAAAGCATGTGAAATCATGTAAAACCAGCAATTTGCAGGAGACATGAAGGCAACCGTCTTGTCGCCGCTGCGGTAAACGCTTGTCACAACGATGCAAGCTGAGCTGGCGGCATGAGTCACAGCTCCTGGACTCAGGAGATCTCGCACCTTCGTTACAGAAGGGCGGCACGAAAAACAGCAACAACACATTTTTACGCACATAGAAATATTCATGATATAACTTGACTCAAGTACGTGTACAAGGATGCCACCTGACAAATGGGCTACAAAGTTTCTGGCAGCTCCACGGCAATATCGCGACCCCATGAAAACTGCAGGCAATGTCCCGGCATGTGTGGTTAAACGAACCTTTTCTGGGAAACCTTCAGATTGCGAAAACTAGCTTTCCCTTCGTTCCGTGAGCAGAAGTTCGAGCACACATCACTCCAGCTTTCAAGTCCAGTGAGCCTTTCGCAGGCACGAAGGAACAAGGAGACCCAAGTTCCTGGAAGCTATATACACCGCATGCGCCACACTCCAGTTCGCAAGCCTCACGCCCCGGAATCAATGCAAATTAGTTCTTGTCTCACATTGTCTCACGCAAAAACTAGCCACATGCCATGCTGTAGATTTGCCACAAGCCCTTTGCCTTGAATCCATGACAAGGATCTTTAGATCAACACTCATGTGTACGGCTGTATACCCAGCGGATGTTCAGCAAGAAGCTGTTCTCTGCAATGTCGTTAGATGCACATGCACATGCTGCGAACCAAGCTCAGCATCGGGCACGCTCGTTGTATATCTCGAGGACTGAAACATCAACAGACCAAAGGGATCCTGACACGAGAGTTCTGGAAAAAAACCAAAGCTTGTGCTTGCTCTCAGGTAAGCTCCCTGCTCTGCGCCAATGCATCGAAGATGCAGTGTATGGCTCTTGGGGCCACCCCTCTGAACCTCGGGAAGCAATGTTGCAATATGTTGCAGACCCAGACCGGTACAAGAAAAACACTTTCATGTTCTTGGAGCTGGCGTTCTCTGGGCGTCTTGCTTTGAGGTTCCAACGACCGTGTGGGTCTTCCCTGACCCAGTTTGGCCTCAAAGCATTGCTTGCCACACACACACAGAGACACACACAGACACACACACACACACACACACACACTCGTTCGAACAACCAAACTGTGAGAACAGCGCGGATGAAATTCCCGGCACGCTCTCTTCATCGAACAGACTGCTACAGCCATACAGTCGCTACAGCTATACAGTCTAAGCCCTCTCAACTTGTCGGAACAAGCTTCCCACCATAGGCAATGACTGCACCGTTGTAGCCACTTATGACCGCCTTCCCGTTGGGGCAGATCATTGCGGACACACTCAACTGCAACTCGATCTATTGTTCTCATTGTTCTTAATCTCATTCATAAGTGTGCTATTCAGCTCCAACTGGCAGAAGCACCGACATCCGCTGCTGTCCATGCGACCACCTGCCTCGCAAATGGGTGCCACAGCGACATTAAAGACCTGACAGGGCTGGGGATATCTGCATAACAGTTGAGAAGCGATACATCCCTAGCCATCTGTCACATCGAGCGCAAGCCTCCTCCTGAGAGGTGTCTTCTGGAAAAACGTGGTCGAACTGGTACTGGGCCTGATGCACAGATGGACCAGTACGAGGAACCAATGTGGTGACTGGATGTGCACATTTCGGGCGTAAAGCACAGTATCTACTCTGCTGATCTCCTAAACTTTTTCTTCTCGCATGCAGGTTCCCGTTCCAATGTGCGAAACGCAAGAGTCGGCTAGCTGATCCCAATCCCACCCAAGATGTCCGCAACATGGGCCTCGCCCAGCTGATCGTATCTGCTCCCTATTTGGCGCAGCCTGCAAAGGAGACCACCGACCGAGCAATCACGTAACATGGCGAGACTCAACCCCGAACTCCCACTATGCCCGAACCGATTACAAACTCGTGCATGTAGTGCTTTCGTATTACACACACAACATCAAGCAGGCATATCCCAACATGGTCATCAAAAAAAGAAACACACACACAGAGAGGAGCGCGCGCCTGACGGAATGCATAAGCTCCCGACAAGGCTCAGCACAACGATCATCCTGTCAACTCCGGTCGAGTCCACTGCGCCAGCAGCCAGAGTACAACAACCAAGCCTCCGAGTTAGAACCAGGGCGCAATCGTACATTGACCTCGGCGGCTCCCAGTCTGTTGTAGCTCTTTAAAGCAACTTTCGTGCGACTGGATGAGTAGGTGAAGGTACAACATTGACAACTCAGGCCGGTCAGGGTTTTTTTCACGCAACTTGCGGCTACAGCTAGCAGGTACCATGCATCCAATTTGTTGACCGCCAGCTTCGTGGCAGCAGCTAGCGTGAACTCTCTGAATGACAAGCACCCATATTATCCGGAAACTGTTGTGCTTACGCGAGGCGTGCATCTTACCTGCGCACAGTGCTAGCTTATGCGGCTTGGTTTCCAAGCCTGTTTGCTTACACGTTCTTACACTGGCTTACGCGGTAGGCGACTTTAACATCCCTTGTAACATACAAGCCACTTCAGGCTAGCATTTGGGTGGCAGTCGTACAGTAAGATGTGGGCGTACAAAGTGAGGAGTTGCGAGGTCGTGGCCAACTGGTCCAAGTTGATACCGATACAGTACGCGGAGCTTACATGAAAGTTGTTTCTTGCGCAGACCCTCGCGCGCTCCTTAAGCGCATGGGCTCTTAGCTTTCGTGGGGCAGGGTTTCCCGCCCCCTTTCAATGTTTCATCACGGCCGGGTTTGGCCTCTGCTCTCATGGACAATGTCAATGTCGTGCCGAAGTGCGTGATGCAAGTCAACGGCATCTTTCACTCATGCAGCTGATCGAGTCGGCTAGCGGACATCATTCATCCAGGTGACTGTCTGGAGTTGGCTGTCCACAAATCCGGGGCAGAATTGAGCAAAATTGCAACACATTGCTGGGTGCTGCCGCCCTCGCCATAGTAAGCCACATTTCTGTTTGTGCGAAGGCCGGTGGGCCAGGGGTCAGCGACTGGAATGCGTGGCAGGGGCTGGGTCACAGAGCATGCGCCGGGTTGGGGACCGGGGCCGCGGTGGAGGCAGCCATCCGTGCTGCTCCGCAGCGGTTTTGCTCGATGCCACCGAAGGGAACTTGAGTTGCAGTAGACAAAGGCAGATGCACGGGGCGATAACAATTAACTGCAGCTCATTAAAATGCATTCGGTAACGTTGCAAACTTCTGATGGTATTGACATGTATTGACTGATACCCGGCCAAGTCCCTGAAGACAAAGACTGAGTGCTCTGGCCGAGACGTCCCCACGTGTTCCGTTGCCACCTCACGCCCCAGAGAAGTCGACCCACCCATGGGCAGCGACTGACTAATGTGCTAATTTGCTTCTGAGAACGTGGCCGCCCCCAAGGCGTTCCTTAGTCCCGCCAAGATCCGCTGAGCACTTGTCAATGAGGGAACCTTTCGTTCGTTTTTGTTCTGCTCAGTCTGCAAATTCCAAGCTGTGTTGTTGTGGGGCCCTGACCACCCAACTGGAGCGCAGCACTGCAGATGCCGCGCTGCTTGGGGCCTTAGACAGTTGATGGCACCAGGATGCATTCGAGGATGTCCGATGAGGTGAACGACATGTTAGGATGCTGGAACTCGGGCACAGAAGCCGTCACACTGACGTTCTGTTACGCTCTCTGACTCTGTTGCTCATATCCGGATCTCGGTTGGCTGCACTGGTCCGCCGGACCACGCTGGTGCCAGCGCTCGTAGTGGCATTGGACCTCCACGCAACGATGAGAAACCGTCATGAGCATTGCTGAGTGCACACAGGAATGGCAGGGCACCTGCTTGAACTGGAGCTCTCCGGTGGCTTTCGATCACACCAAGCAGGTGGCGATGTAGTAACTGCACACGAGACGAGGTCTCTGGATGTTTCGAATTCTTAGATCACGTGCAGATCTCAAAAAATAGGAGCACCTGAGGCGGAGCTCTCGAGGCCCTTTGGCGCCGAGGCCTTGGAGTGCCCCTGGATTTCGGCATGTTGCAGCATCAACTTTGCCAGGAGCGCGGCTGCACTTCAGGAACACTTAGGCCCAGCTAGGCACATCGCAGAAGGGCTCTTTCAATGCAGCACACAACTGTGCTGAGTCTTGTTTTAACAAGGGAAGGTCAAGTGCCTTTGCTTCTCTCTGAATGGAGTTCTCAGGGTTTTCAGAGAGTGCAAACTTTGCAAACAAATGCGGCCCAATCACACCGTCCCGGATGAGCGCGGCGGCGCCTCCAAGGTGGTCACCTGGGCGCCCGAGTCTCAGTAAGGCACACGAAAGAAAAACGACAAAACCAACGAACACGAAAAGGAAAGAGCAACAACACGCGCAGAGCGCACTTTCTCGCACAAATTGTATTCCCTCTCATTTCACAGCTCTCTCTGTGGTCTTAGGAAGAGGGCCCCATGATCGACTTGTAGCCCAAGACAACATCCTGAATCAAGGACAGGCAACAAGCCGTCTAAATAGAGTCATCTCAGGTTGGACTGACACCTCTTTCAAAATTCTGGTACTATCTTTCAGTCTCGCCTGGCCGTCTGTCTTGCCACCTGTCATCTGTTCCCGTCTTTCTCTCCAGGGTTCGTTCACTCCCCGCCTTACACTCCTACTAAAGGCCGTGCCGTTGGAACATTCCCGAGTACCGCGAGAAGCGTCCCAGCCCCCGAGTTAAAAAATTTCAGGCACAGGTTTTATGATGGGTGCTTGACGCAACCTTCTGATCGACCCAAACTGTTACAAAAGCCACCTTCTCCTTGTCACCCCGTGATCCGACGTGCCCCCGATTGGGCAACGTCGCAAAGGAATGCCGAGGGCCGAGCGTGAATTTGCCAACCTTGGAACAGAGGATCACTTAGGCTAACATGGCTAACAAAGCGCTTCGGATACTTGATCTGATACCCGTCACCGAGCACCGGGACCTAGTTGAACAATGATTGTAATGTTTGATCAGAGGCCACGGGAAGGCTCGAGCTGCTGACGTTGGTGCCTCTGGCATTGAGGCGGCTTTGCGGCCTCGGAAAGCCTCGGAACGCCACGGCCAGCTCTCTCTTCCTTCCTTCCTTCCAGCGCATGTGAATTCCCCAGCTCTCTCTCTCTCTTTCACACACTCTCTCTCTCACACACTCTCTCTCCTCCTTCTCCTCCTCCTCCTCCTCCTCCTCCTCTTCTTCTAAGAGGCCCCCCCCCCGAAGGAAGGACCCCGTGGCCGTTTTCTCTCTCTCTCTCTCTCTCTCTCTCTCCCCCACGCATGACCCCCCCGAAGGGAGGCCGCCCCCAGGGGCGCGTGAAAGGCCGTTTTTCTCTCTCTCTCTCTCTCTCTCTCTCTCTCTCTCTCTCTCTCCCTATCACTGACTGACTCACTGACTGGCTGGCTGACTGACTGACTGGTCCAACACTGCTGAGGCAAGCTCCGACCGCGGTTGGCCAATAGCTACCCGTGAAATGCCTGGCATTTAGGGCCTAGCTATGCAGAACAATGTGGTTCCTACGCAGCGCAGGAAGCATCTGCACCGAAGCCAACAGGAAACCAACCAATTCCATCTACCTGCCGCGTACCCCATGCCTTGCTCAGGAGTGTTCTGACCAGGGAACCCAGCTTCGGGAGTCAAGAGCTTCAGCTTCTGGGGCCCGCAAGAAATTTACAGATTTTTACAATAAGCCGAAGTTTGCGGAAAGAACGAAGCAACATAATGGCAAAAAAAGGAAGAAAACTTCGAACCTTCCCGTCGCCCAAGCGCCAGGCGTTGGGAGGCAGCCTGGGCTGTGTTCTTCGAATCGCCAGTGTTTCAAACATCCCAACAGATCTCAGCTCAGCTCCGAGCACTGACTGGTCTTGCGTCCTCGCGCTCATCCAGCAGGCGGCCCGCTGCCGCCGCAAGGCTAAGGCACAGGATGCTGAACCAAACGAGAACGCGATGCGCAGTGGAAGTATGCCACCAGCTGAGGATTCCAAGCTTCGGACGAGGCAGTGCTTTCGCCTCCCGGACTGTCCTCACAAGGGCAGGCTCTAGTGAGTGGCAAGTTGCCGACATCATCGGGCTTTCAGGGATGACTGCATGAATATACTCCACAAACTCCCTTCTGACACGTCAGGATCAGACCTGAGATGGAACTAAATTGGTTCTTCTTCGTGTTTGCGTTTGATTTTTGTGGTCTAGGGATCTTTTACTAGGAAACTCTTTTCTCGGGAACTTCCATTTCGTCTTCTTGAAATGGAAAGCCTCTGTTACATCTATATTTGCCTAGGCAGTTTATATGCATCACCTCTATGTTGTCTGTTTGTATTTCCTCTGAAAACCTCTATTTCCTCTGTATATTTGATTGGACGATGGCAATATTGTTGAACTGGAAACCTCTTTTTCGGCCTCTGTTTCTTATTATACTCGACTATCGCAAGTCCCTTCGCATGGCATGAGGCCCCTCCCACCCCCATTAGCAAACACATGCTCGAATGACGGGCTTGGAAAGGACCCGCATGTGCTTCAATGCATGTCCTTTTCATGGCATGATCATCTCGAAAAAACCTTCCACGGCTCACAAAACAAGGGTTGTGGGCGAGCGTGCGTGTGTGTGTGAGTGTGTGTCTGCAGCACCCCCACCCCACGCTTTCGCTGTCTGTCTTTCTTTCGTTCATTCTTTCCATGTTTGATTCTCGGTTTCTTCCTCCCTCTGATGCCAACTTGCTTTCTTCGTGGGAAAAATGTGTTTCCTCCAGACTTTCGGAGAACTTCTGGAAACATCCCTTCCCCCCCACATCCCCCCCCCCATCCCCCCCCCCCATCCCCCCCCCATCAATCCCCCCCCATCCCCCCCCCCATCCCCCCCCCTCCCCCCCCCCCATCCCTGCAAAACTGTGACGAAATAAAAGTTTTATGAATGAACACGTAAAGGAAGGTCTAACGGATGTGTTCCTGGATCCGCTGAGCCATCAGTGATCTCCCTGGCTTGTCTTTGCGAAGACGAGCCCCCACGACTGCAGGACCGAGCACCGGCAAAGTGCTTTCAAAGACTGGTACATGTCCGCTGCTTCCTGTCCTCGGTGCCCAATCTCCAGCTCGAAGTGGACGAACTCTGTGGATGGGGTGGGGATGGGGGGGGATGGGGGGGGATGGGGGGGGGATGGGGGGGGGGGATGGGGGGGGGGGGGGATGGGGGGGGGGGGGGGGATGGGGGGGGGGGGGGGGGGGGGATGGGAGGGGGGGGATGGGATGGGGGGGGGATGGGATGGGGGGGGGGAGGGGGGGGGGGATGGATGGGGGGGGGGATGGTGGGGGGGGATGGGGGGGGAATGGGGTGGAACAACATGGAACACCGCTTGAAAAACACTTTAAAAACACTTTAACATAAAAAAAAAAAATCTACCCCCTTCTCAACAGCTCAGCCGGCTTTGGGCTCCTCGTCGTCCTCTCGGGCAAGGCCAGAGCCGAGGCCGGGGACCCCCAAGCCTTGGTGAGAACTTCGGCACTCGTGGATGTGCGCTGTGCACTCTGTGCATTCCGGATCATTCCGGCGAGGATCATTCTGTGCTGCATTCAAGGTTTCATGCGCGTTCCGGAGAACGAGGCCATCTCTGGAAAACTCAGCAGAACTCCTTGTCTGATCTTGTCTGTTCTCCGAGGGCGAGGCCGAAGTCTGGATGGCTTATCATGCCATCAAGTCATCGGAACTTCTGAGCAGATACTGAAACATTTTCTAGGACTGCAGGGTCAGGGTATGTCAGGGTACTCTGAGGGTCTCCTAATGTGGGTAATTTGTTGTCGCGCACCTGTCGCAGTGCTCGGGCGGGTCTAAATTTGCAAACGTTGTTCAAGTATTTACTGCCGTTTGACCTGATCGTGAAACAGCTGAAGCGAGAGCGCGCAGGATGCCGGCCATTGCATGTGCTGCTTGCAGAAAGTCCTACAGTACCATGTTCTGCCTGGAAAGTGTTCAGCCACCATTAAACCACTACGTCCACCGGACGTTAGGCATGCTGACATCCACTCTACACGACACAAGTAGCACTTGCGACATCGAAAGGCCCAGCCGTGCCCAACACTTGCCACACTCCCGAGCATCTCGCACCTGCTCTTCCAAGCGCTTCTTGCCACCAGAAGATGGGGCCCAGCGAGGGTTCAGGTGCAAGAGCATCTGAACCAGGGCATTTCTGGACAGGTGTAGGAGGAAGGGGGTGGGCTGGTACCATGTATTGGTAGCAGATCATGGGCAGATATGGTGATGCCAGGGCGCGCGTGGGTTGTTCTGGTGGCGGTTGTCCACACAGCCCACACACACAAAATACAAAAACCAAACTCAAGCGCTGAGTACGACTCCCCTACATGGGACCTGGTCACTGAAGGCCAAAGCCAGCAAGCAGCGAAGCTTGTCGACCTCACCTCATTGCCGACTCGCTTGATGTTGCACTGGGGCACTGCTTATAGATCTGTGCACTGGCCGAGGAAAAACTCTGATAATTAAGCGAGTTGACTGCACAGGGTCTTGGAATTGAATGTCTCTGAGTTGCGTGCTGCTGAATATTCGCTCTGGGTTGCCCCAACCCGTCATTCGCAGCAGGTCCTTGAACAAACTGCACACCGACCACCGAGCTGCACAACAACCCTGGAAACCACAGGTGCATGAAATCAGAGTTGCTGGACCTGTTCATAAGACAATCAGAAAGCCCAGAGGGTTCTGAACTTTGCAAACCACCACCAAGAACCTTTTTTGCACGCTGCAAGCACGGCCTGTTGCCCACAAGAAAGCGCTGCAACAAGCGGGTCGCTGCTAACAGCATCTCCCCCTTGCAGTGGCTTTCTGATCAGTGGCTGCTGCAGCATTTGCGGCTGCAGGTGTCGTTAAAACCTGGGATGACACTGGGAATGCGAATATTTTCAAGTTCAAGACGCTTGCAAACGGAAAATGAAAGAGTCTCTTGAAAAATCGCACCCTCGCTGGCCACCGATGTCAAATGTACGTCCGGGTCGCTTGCATCCCACGCTGCTGAGGCATGAAGGGCTCATCGGGCAACAACTCAGCAATGCCCTCAAAGAGTCGCAATACGTTCCTCGGAGCTTTCGGAGCTTTGCATGAGGCTCAGCACTCGAAAGAGAAGATGCAGGTGCTGTGCTCTCTTTGTTAAGCTCGGCCACTTCCCAGTCATTGCGGATGTGTCCAAAAGGAACCTTAGAATCTCTTGAAACCTTTGGCCAGCTGCCCAAACCAGCTGATAATGATCCGCCAAAAGCTTCAGGCTTTCCCATCCAAACCGGTTTTCAGTCAACACCTGCCTACGGTGTTTTGAAAGGAAACGGACACGAATATGTGCAGAACCGGAACCGAACCGCCATGAACCACTGGCCCGGAACCGACATGAACCGAACCGGAACATTGCTGTTCTTTTGGCCTAGAAACAGGCCTTGCTGCTGTGCAAACCTCTCCGCCTTCTCCCAGGACACTTGCTGCTTCGACTCCATGTCTGCCTTGTTCGCTGCGAGGGCAATCACGATGTTTGGATTCGCCGAGGTTGACATGACCTCCGAAGCATGACAGTAGTAACAGTAGCAACGAGCAGATAAGCCCAGAGATCCGAAGAAGGGAGCCATGGAGCGAGCCTCTCGAACCCATTCCTGCGCCCGATCGAACGTCACTGCATTGGTCTGGTCATAGACAACGATCGCAGCAGAAGCGCCCCTGCAACAGTGACAGCAGGCTCAACTATGCTCATCAAGCACTGCATGTCTGATATGTCTGAAACGGACAAGTCTTCAAGGAAAAACAAAGTTGAAAAGCCATGTCTGCCCCATGGCCCGGTCTGCCTGTAGTACATCGGCGCCAGGCTCCGAAAGCGCTCCTGACCGGCGGTGTCCCAGATCTCGAATTTCACCTGCGCTCTGACCGCAAGCGTACAGCACAAGCAGTAAGATGATGTCAGATGTGCATACATTGGCAAGCAATGCTAGACCTTTCATATTGCCCTGCCACGATTCGACTGGCAAGCTGAGGTGACAAAATTCTCATAACTAAGCACGTCTTCGCGTTGCTTATGTTACTTATGTTAATACGACATGCTGGTCACATCCCATCCATGAGGCTCGCATCCATGATGCACGCCTGGCGCCCCTTCGACTCGATGGTCTTCGTGTTGAAGGCTGCGCCCACTGTTGTTGCCTGGCAGCAGCGACAAGAATCTGACTTCAACCTTGATATTGCCTGACTGTTGCATGCGTGGCCGATGGTTACCGAGTATTTGAGGTGTCAACACATTCCGCTGAGCGGCGATTTCCTCAGAAAATTTGTTGTGCAGGAATCTGAGCAAGATGCTGGACTTTCCCACCTGTGGCAGACAGACATGTCTCAGGATTAAATAGCAGGAAACTCTCACAGACGCCGTTCCACTTAAATTGCTCTAGCATCGACCAGAACGCCTGGGATCTGTGACATGTCACTTCCATCGCCCCAGACCCCGACGCGGGAAAAAATGCTGCTGAGTGTCTGAGGCATCCCCCAAGAGAACCAGCTTGAAGCCCTTCCTGGCCGCAAAGAATGTCGAGCAGCCTACAATCTGCTGACCTTTCGGATGTTTCCAGAGCTGCCCATCCCCTGTCGTCCCCCGTCCCTATAGACCCAATAGACCCTTAGATGCCAAGCTGTGATGTGTGTTTTTGCATGCTCTGCCAATTGCCGGTATGGTCCTTGGGGCTGTGGCCTTGGCAGAGCTGCTGGCGGCATCGCTGTAGGACATCGCGTGGCAAGGCGGTGCAGGCAAAGCTGTTGTTGGCAAACAGTCACGGTGGGCTGTGGCTGATGGGTGTAAGTGTGTAGGTGTGTAGGTGGGTGGATGTGTAGCTGTGTCCGTAGGTCGGTTGGTAGGTAAGCAGGCATGATGAACCATGCATGTGTTAGTGTATGTGTGCGCGCCCGTCTTGCTGCGTGACAAGAATAAATTTGGGCGGCTCTGCCATGCAGATATAATGCATGCTGACTGCTGTAGCAAAGCCTGGTCTGATATTTTCTGAGATTTTCTTTGAGGGGAAACGCTGCCAGCAAAGGCATAAGCAACTGCACGCGAGTTGCGAAGCTCGCCTCGGCGCAGGGAGGCTTCAGAGTCTCAATCCGTATCATGGTGCTCTGAGTCTCTGAGTGCCAAACATCTCCCTTGTCCACCTTGTGGTGCATGGCAGCGAGCAGCTCCTGAAGCGAAAGTTTCATCGTTAACAACCGTTGTGGGGCGGGGGCGCCGCACGTTGCCAGACTTCAGAGGCTTCTTCGGTTCCAGCACATACTTCACACTTTATAAGAAGAGACTGATCTCTCTACAGCTTCTGTGATCCTTCTACGCTTCTGTGATCCTACTATTACTCCTGAACATCTTGTAGAACTTGGAGCTCTCTAGCACGTCAAACCATCAAGACCCATCAGGTGTGGCACTCATTTTCAGGCGCCTACGGCGCTGGAGTTGCAGCAAGCGACACGGAAACCTGTGCTTCTCGTGCCGTCTTGGGAGGGATCTCCCGAACCATCAGCAGCACCCAGGCCACAGTGAACAAGGCGGCAACACTTAGAAAGTAGCCCGCAACATCCAGGGAGGTGGCATCGGAAACGGCACCAAAGAGTGGAGGGAGCGAAAAGCCGCCCATAGCAGTGACCGTCTTCCACAAACCCAGAAACTGGGTGCGAGCCCGCGCTGGGGCCAGACCTGTTGCAAAGGCATTGAGGATACCACCGCAGATGCCGTTCCCAATGCCGAAGACAACGCCTGCAAGTCCCAGCATCAGAGGGTCCCGAACTGCAGAAAGTATTGCAAAGGCTCCACCCATCAAAATCATCGAGGGTACAGCAGCTGCTTTGAGGCCATATTTGTCCATAATGTGACCAGCAGCTAGGAATGTGATGCTGGCATCACATGCCCGAAAGCACGCAACAGTGATGCCGATTCCAACCTTGCTCAGCCCTATGTGGTGCCCGCGCAAAGGCAGTGCAACCATCCAGGTGTTTCGGATGCCCGTCAGCAAGGCACAGTAGAGACCAGCCCCAAGCAGCGACCGCCAGTGCTCGCGCAGAACGGCACAAAGAGTGGGGCTGGGGACCCTTGGTGCTGTGCCCATTGTGTCTCCCTGTGCCGCTCCCGGCGCCGCTGGACTCTCAGGCTCTGTACAAGTTTGCCTGGAGAAAAGACGGTGGCCTGCAATGAGAAGCAATGCAGAGAGGGAAAGAAGTGCCTGCACAAGGAAAACGCTCCGGGTGGCCATGTGCTCAGCCACAAGTCCACTCAGCAAAGCTGAAATCATTACAGCCCACTTCTGCATGCTTGCCAGAAAAGCTGACACCCGTCCCCTTGTATCAGAAGGCACCTCAGCAGCTATGTATGCCTTCCGCGAAATATCAAAGGCGGTGGCCCCTAGCCCACCGACCAGCCGGACCCCCAGGAGCATGTAGATGGACTGCGAAGCAAAAGAAAGGAGTGCTGTTGTTACCATGAGAGAGAGGGACAGACACGCCGCTGTCGCATAGTGCAGGTGCTGCATGGCGACACCCACCTTGCAAGCGACTGAGCTGACACGAAAACATTGGGCTGGCTACGCCTCAGTTTTCCCACAGCCTTCCCTGAGTTTCCCCACAGCCCCTTCAGGTGGCAGATTCAGGCAAGCCAACACAAAGCTTGGAGACAGAGGTCCACAGCGCCAAGTCACCGGAGCGGAGCCAAAAAATGCTGCCATGGCATAGGCTGAGGCGATGGTTCCAACCATACCGTGCGAACCCCCGAGGTCCACAACGAAGATGGGCAGCATGGGGGTCACAAAGGTCTGCGCCTTCCCCTGCAGCAAGCCGGGCCTTGGACCATTGGAGAGCCGTCCCATCCGCCAAATCATTTTCAGATGACCCGTTTTGATCTAATTGGCTGCAACCTGTTGCCACACTTTTTCAGTACTTGTTGTATTCCACCTCCTGCAGGCAAGGTGCAGAATCAGGGGCACAACGAACGGTCGCATACCCGATGTGACAGGTGCCTGGAGACGCATGCTGATGAGTATGACCGCAGCAGTCTTACGTTCTCAGCACCTACCAGCATCAGGGCAAACCCGTCACATAGATCAGTGCACAGGTAATACAGGTATGTCACAAGGCAGCCGAGGGCATAAGCGATGAAGACTTTTGGTCACGCCTGCTGCTGAGAAGGCCGTTCTTCGCTGTCCGCCGTCATGGCTTTGAAGTAGTAGGCGGCACAAGTAACAGATGCAAAGCAAAAAACCCAGAAGCTTTGGCACGCATGCTCTTTCCAAATGGCCCATGGATATGATACTGCTACTCACTGCAATACTCAACTGCCTTTGTTTCTCGCATGCACAGCTTCAATGGCACTGGGAGCCCGAATCACGTCGCCTTGCACACGGCATGGACGGCTTGAGCAGTCCGAACCTCTTGAAAGCCACTCCCAAACCCGTATCACTGCACCACAGACTCCATAGAGGATCAGTGTGATACAGGTTAAACCGTTGAAGTGTGAAATTTTGAAGCCTCCAGGTTGCTGCGAGCCCGTCCGGCGCGCAAAAGTTTGAGGAAGCGGACCTTGTCAGGTTCTGACAGGTCGCGAGTTCAACGCTCAGCTCATGCTGCATCACGGCGCACACCCAGCAAGAATCCAAATGCTTCAAAAAGCAGGGTTGGGGGCTTTCGGCATGCTTTCCCGGACAGAGCAACAGCGCACTGGGGGCTCGGCTGTCAGTTCTGTTGCATCTGCAGTGAGTGATTCAAACTTCTTGGGAATGATGGACCTGAGGCCACTGCTGTCCATGACATCAGGACGACTGCTGGCAGGCGTTATAGAGGTTAACTCGATCACCCTCACTCTGAGAAGCTCTCTCTGGGAGCCATGCGGTCACTGCGCACTATTCCAATGTATTCTGAAGCTTACAGTTACACCACAGCCCTACGCGCTGAGCCAGGCTGAGCCCGTGGCCAATCACGAACAAACGACCCGAGTTGCTTCGCACCTCTTGGCGCGCCCGCACCTCAGAGCTTTTGACACACGATGGCACATGAGGATGCGGGATGAGGAGGGATGAGTAGGCATGAGGGCTTGGGCTGCACACTTTAGGCCCTGAAGAAGTTACCACATAGCTGCATCCTTTGTGCAATCTGGATCCTGCAATGTTCTAGTCACTAGTCGACACCCAGACGGCAAGCTGATTTGGCACACATGAGGGGCCGGCGAATCCATTCTTTGAAAAGAGAATGCATCATGATGGGCTCTGAAAACGTCCTGCGCAACAGCAGATCTGACGGCGCACTCACCAGTGCCGGGCAGATCCTGGATCCATATCATGTCAACTGCCTGGATCTGCCTTGTGCCGTTGACTTCGATGCAGCCCCCTTCACCGTGCGCCCCAAAGTTGACGCGGTCCCGTGATCGCACCATCGTCGTGAAGCGAAGGATCGCTCCAACTTCTGCACGTATTCTTTCTGGTCCTTGTCACGACTATGTCTGACGCTGACCCAAACCTTAAAATGCAGAGTGTGTTGCAAGCATGTATGTTGCAGATGCCACCCGACGGCCAGCTGAGCAAAACTTGTAGCGCCTTGAGGACCAGAAGCGAAGGTGTGCTGAACGGATCTGGGCCCGTGAGACCCGCAGCCATCGCCAGGGCCTGTGAGAAGGAGACAACGAACTAGAAGCACTGTCCTGAATCCTAATTGAGCTCAAGTGCCTTGCACGTTCAACCTCTAGTAAATTCTGAGCCCCTCGCGTCTGCTGGACCTCGCAGTGTGTGCGTGCACCGGAGCTTCGCCAGAGATCTAGTGACTACGTGACGCAAGCAAATCCGGTTCACAGCATGCGGTGTTCACAGAATCATGCCGAACCGCTCCTCGACTTCATGCGCCCTTGTCGCATCTTATCACTGTAGTGCTGACACAAGGGATGTCAGAAGTCAAAGAGCTGTATTGCCGTTCCGTTAACATGCAGTGTACCTTTGCATCACCAAGCATGGAGTTGAAGAACTTACACAAGTGTCCACACACAAAGGTTCTCAGGCTGAGGCATCCGAACAAGCAGCCGAGAAACAGCAGGCGACATATGCGAAGGTCGCACGGCAATGCCTGGGCGCCGCTTCCAGAGCCACACCGAAAGCTCTTTCCGATACATGGCATCGGGTCTTGGTGGGTTTTTTGCATCATGTGTGGCGACTCCAGCTGTGTCCAGAGCCCCTGGAACTTGGAGCCTGGCTACAGCAATCTGACCCAGCGGGGTAATCTCTGCCTCCTGGGAATCTTGTCTCTGTATCCACGGTGCCGGTGCTTCACTCGCCGCTCTGGTTCATCAAACTCTGAGAAGAGTGAGAAGAAGGAGGCGGAGGAGGAGGTTTGAAAACCGCTTGTGAAAGGATTGAAAGAGTGCTCGCAAGTGTGGCTTGAGCTGAATATGTTGCTTGAGAGCGTGCCTCCGGCAAGCGACAGAAACGGAGCAACGGTCATCACACACGAGACACACCTGCCTTGCCAAACCCGGCAACCTGCTGTCCGTCATGTGTATTTCCCGTACTTGCGCATGGACATCTGACCAAGACATGCCCCTCTCCTTTTAACTGTTGAGCTGTTACGCAGCCAATCACTTTCTCCCATAGGAATGGTTAGGCGGCGAGTCCTAGGAGCATCATCATGCTCCACGTTTGCTGAACAATCTCTTCTGAAGTAGGACTTACTTCGAAACATTTATCTAGCCCTTGTCATTGCAGCTCACTTCGATTCCCTGTCCTCTGCCGGCATGGTGAGGCAGCCTACAGCAGACAGCTCTTGGATGGCTGCCTCAGAGTCACGTCGGACCATTGCTGAAACTGGTGCAGACCTCGTATGTCAAGCACAACGCAGAGCCGCAAAACATGAAAAGCCTGGCTACCGGCACCTGCCCTGGAACTTCCCCGTACTGGGGATTCTGCATCCAGCAAATTCAGAGAAGGGGGCTGCACCACCTGCTGTCCGGTGACAAGGTGACACTTCCAACCATCCGGACGGCGCTTCCAAGTCTGAGGGCTTTAGCGCGCGCAGTAGGTTTTCGCAGAAACACTTCGTGCTTGGGGATCAGGGCCTAGTGCAGGCACTCCGCATTGCACCGACAAGGAGCAGGCAGTTGCGCCCATGTAAACGGCTCATGACTAGATCCAAGTATAGTCAAGCTTTGTGGCTACGGTTCCCAGGCAAATCCTCGCTGCACAGTACAGGCACCGCAGCAGGCTCCGCTTCTCTGAATGCAATGCCGAACTGCCGAACTGCTCTCCTGGTATGATCAAGATGCCAGCCCGTTGGGCCTTTCTAACGAGCTCTCTGTGCTCCGCATCCAAGGATTGCACTACGTCACTACGTACATGCCAAGCGGATGGAAGTGAATTTGCACGAAACGCAAGTATCTAGTGGAAAATTGAGGTGATGCACGAGCCGGCCAGGCCAGCTTTCGCGATTAAATCCAGAGATGAGGGCGCCCATCTTATTCCCGCTTCTAAAGGTTTTTGTTTGCTCTAGTTTTGCTCTCCTTCCTGTCTGATTTTCGTGTCCCAGGGCCCCTTGCCGAATTAACTCTCCACGCCTCGTTGAGCAATGCCTTCGGAGAGGAGATGTCCATTTTGACGTCAGGCCTCGAGCAGAGAACCTCCAAGCATCTGTTGACTGATGAAGCATTCAAGATTCTGGGATATCCACGGAAGACGAACTCGATCTGAAGCTTTTGCCAAAGTCGAGCAGAGCTGCTTCGCCTGGCGAGAGTTGGGCAACTTTTGAAGGCACCCTCCCACACAGAGGCATGTTGCAAGCACACAAAGCGCTGTCAGGGTCGCTTTGAATGCTTCTTGAGCTACTCAGGCCTGTAAATAGAGCTTTGTGAGGGGAGCATTCAGCATCTCGGGCGGGTCGAAGGCTGGCCTCAAGACCCGCAGCTCTGCAAAAACCCCCCTTTTGCTCCCTCTGCCCCGGCACCTGCCCGCTGCACGCCCTCTCCCAACACTTCTGCAGCGCGAGCTGTTGGAGTGCACTCTTTGAACTTTGTACGGCACGGTGGAATTCCCGCGCTTCGCAATGGCATAGAGTAGGAGGGCTGCTTTGTAAATCCTGGTAACTCCGGGCTAGTCACGGCTAGCCGAAAATAAAGGCATATCGAAATCGAAGGTGCCTGTGCCCAGAAGCACTACTGAACACGAGGTTGTCTTTGGCATCGCGCCACTTCTGGGCTGTCCGGCAGCTCGGATTCAAAGAAACGCCGCGGGACAAGGCAAAGCGCGCGCCCCGGCATCGTCCGGCCTAAGTCAACGGGCAGGCGCTCTTGCTGTTAAAGCTGATTTCGAGGCTTTGCAGCGTCACGCCTCTGCCTAAGTTCGGTTGATTCGGCTTTCCCGAACCTGCAATTCTTCTTTACGGGTGGTATCCCCGCACCGAAAGACCAGGCCTGCCCGACCCCGCCGCTGCTTGCCTCGGAGCCGAGTCTTCTCCCACAGCTCAAGCATCACGTGATGCTACGGTCGCCGCAACGACAAGGTGCAAACTCCCTTAGCATCCAGGATGCATGAGCTTTGGGAGCACCAGGTGGTCACCAAGCAGCACATCAGCCGCCGCGTGTCGTACCTGCGCTGTGCAATGCCATCGCTTGCTGGCAAGTTCCCACTGTAGGCAGACGCCCGGCGAGTTTCAACCGGGTGCTATGCTATGACTTGCACGATGTGTTTATGTACTACGATGCACTGTGATGCATCCTTGCATCTTGTGCTTACCTACTGTTTACCGAGGCAGCCGAGAACCAGCCCTCAAACAGCGGGGCACTGCACGGTTCGTCTAAGCGCCAGGTCCACCACTGCACATACGCTTGGCCTAAAGACGTATGCAAGCAAGCGTGATCGGGAGATGACACATCACACCTGCAGCTAAGGGCCTGACAGTGTCAAGGAGCTCTCAGCAATGTTGCTGGCAAGTACAACGTGGCCAGTGTCCTGGGAGCTGGGTATGAATTAAAACTTTTGAAAGTTTGCAAGTTCATTCACATCTGGCAATGACGCGGTAGTCCCCGGTAGTCATGTCTACAGGCACTTGCAGCGGCCACTGCGACGCACTGACTTGTACTGAAAACTGCCCTGCCTGAGAAACTGAGGCAGTGGCCTTAGGTACTTCGTTGAACACTTCCTGCATGGCATGTTGCTCAGGGATGGGGCCAAACATCTTACAGAGTCTAACTTGCATTGCGCGGGTGCAGGACTCTTTCCCTCCGCAATGATGCGTCGCGGAAAACCTCCAGACAGTGGGCAACCAGCACCGCATAGGTTGCCGGCACTTTCCGTCCAAGGCGCTGAAGTTGCCTGTCGACTCTGCAGAGACCAAAAGCCATACGCAGAGGCGAAAGATTCCGAAAGTGCAAGATGATTTTGGTGCCAGTTCCAGATTCCAACTTATTCTTGAAGCATCTTGGCTCTCTAGTTCCGCCCCTACTTTACAAGTAGCTTGAGGAACTTATACAAAGTAGTACAGTGCAACCAGGTCACTGTTGCATGGCAAGCCGCATGGCCAGCCTCGACGAGGTGGTTCTGGGGAGCTTCTCCATTCGCAAGTATTTCTGCAGGGGCCTGTCGCTGTACGGCAAATGCCAGGCCTGCGATTGTTCACTTCGATCTTTAGAGCTTCGGATTGGGGTCTCCAGGAGAGCCCTATGTCTACACTAGAGAGTGGAGGTTGAGAGTGGGAGCAAGGTGGAAAAAAGTCATTCTCGGGCACAGCAAAGTGATTAGCTTTCGCTTGGAGTTGGGCAGGGCATTGCCATGGCCCATGGCCCCTGGCCATTCACTCGCTGGGGTTTTATCAGAATCTCGAGGTTTCGAGGTTGGAATCAGGATGGCTCAGGATTGTTCGGGGTTCAAGGAGATGACTGTAGAAACCAGGGCTTCCTTAGCAGATGCCTGGCCTGCAGTCTCTGCGCAGATAGCAGCACTTGCAACTCCTGCCAATGGCAGCTGTGGCGCAGACTTTGTATCTGCTTGCGGTTGATCTCGCAGAACAGCTTGCCAGCTTCCTCAACGTTGTCACCGGCCACATCTAGCCGATCATCCAGATAGCGGAAACGTCGAAGCACGCGTTCGACAAGGGAAGAGTCGATCCGGCAAAGAAATGGTCCCCCGACCTGCGTCAGCCTTGTAAAGTTCGTAGGCTTGTCTGGAGAATATCCGCCCAGCGGCTGGATAAGCGCGAGATTTCCAGGGTTGTTTTTCCATTCAGGTCTCGCTTCCTGCAACATCTTGCTTGCGGCTTCTCGTATGGCAAGCTTCTGTGGCCAGATTGTCAGCTTCCCAAGGTTGTTTGTGTGGAAGAATTTCACTAAGGCATCAACCAAGGGTCCATCTTCTTTATGCTTCAGGAAGCCACACGTCACGAGCGTTGTTCGGAGCTCGTCGAAAGCAGCATCAGAGATCACAACTTGCGTTAGACTTTCCGCATGGGAATCATCAGCCACTTCTACTTCGCCTTCAAGATGCTTTGTGTCCATCACTATACGTCGCAAAAAGCGGCCTGTCTGCTTTTCTGCAGAGTAGTGAACCACCTCATCCGCAGCGATCGCAAGTTGTTGAACCATGCTTGATTGTCTAAGCTTTGGAAAGATAACAGCTGTCCAGACGCCCCAGTTGCGCAGCTTCCGCAGAAGGATGGCAAAGTCTACATCACACGAGACAATTCCTATGGCAGAAGCTCCAGAAAGTCCTGCTTCAGCAGCGTCCATGGCCAGCATGATGTCTGCCGGGTCCTTGTGACCACCTGATAGGCGCGGAACCGTTACCGCTGAGATCCTGTGTTGTCTCAACGCAGTCTTCCATGCTTCAGCTCTGATCTCATCGATGTAGATGCGGGAGGACGAAACCTTTGCAAGACAGAACAAGAAAGCCCTCCCGCATCCAAGCATGATCTCCCTATGTGTACCATCGCAAAGAAGGAAACATACTCACAGTTCATTCCAAACGCTTCGACATTGCGCGCAGACAGCGCGGCCATGATTGGTTTGAAGGCCGCAGGGCCAACTTGATCGCCATCAATGAAAAGGGCGATCTCACGAGATGCTTCCCTCATGCCCACTCTGCAGGGGCAACCTGCAACTCGAGCCAGCAGAGCGGCTGTAGCGCCACGGCTGCAAGAACTGAAACAACAGCGTATGTGTATATATATATATATACATACAGATCGATGGATCAATATGTGGCCTCCAAAGCCTTTGTGGAGCATAAAAAGATGCAAAACGCGTGGTTTGAATGATGGTATCAGGGGTGACTAAGAGCCAAGATGGCCAGAGCTCGTGGTGGTTGGATTTTGCTTCAAAATCCCCTGGGCTAAATACGTGTTTGACAAGTTATTGAATGTCTAGCCCACAGGGCCAGGAGCCAAAAACCAAGAGTGTTCGGAGCCTTGCTTATTGGTTCTTGGTTTCCGGGGCCTCTTGACTAAATTTGTGTTTAAGAAATTCTTATACTAGCTTTTGTTCGCCCAGGCCCCAGAACCAAGAATTTAGGCATCCATCGAGCCACATCGGTTCATCGCTGGTCATTTTCAAACTTTCCCACTCATCTCAATCAGCCTTTCAATGTCTCAATATTATTGAGAAATGCTTCTGCGATTTCAGAACGGCTACACATATTTGAACTGCTTAGTGGCAGCGTTCTACTACGATAAATTGGGGCGTTGAACTACCCAGCACGCAGGTGGGGTGCATGGTCGATCGCGGGCGCGCATGGGCGGCGCGCTCGCTGGCGGACGCTCTCGCCTAAGCCCGGGTGTGGCCGCACTCGCCATCCTCGAAACAGTTATACCTTTTGGACGTCTGGGTTCGCGAAATGCGCAACTGTCGTCGCTTTTGGACGTCTGGGCTCGCGAAATGCACAACTGCCGTCGCTTTTGCATGTCTGGGCTCGTGAGATGCCAAGCTGTCCACACATTTTAGCGTCTGTGCTCGCGTCATGCCAAACTGTCCTCGCTCTTGGACACAGGGCCCGCGACATCCGCAAGCCGCAACCATCATGGCTTTGGACTTCTGGGCTCGCATGGCCCCTCACTGTTTGGGGCTTGCGCAGGTATGATGTGAACTAGCTAAAAAAGGGCCAGCATGGGCGCACCCCCCCCCCTCCTCCCCCCCCCAATGGTATCCCCCCCACCCCCCCCCCGTGGTTCATGGTGGGTTTTGGGTTCCCCCCCTCCCCTGGTTCCTGGTCTGTGGTTCATGGGTTTAGGGTTGCGGGGTTTAGGGTTAGGCTGTAGAGTTCAGGATTTTCACTCTGGTCTATGGGTTCACTGTGGGTTTAGAGTTTAATTCGGGTTCAAGGTTTGAGGTAATGGAGGTTTACCGTTTCCCCTCTCCGCCCTGTGGTTTGTGCTGGGTTTACGGTTCAGGGTTCAGGGTTAAAGCGGCTAAGGTTTCGGGTTTACCTTCTCCCCCCCTGTCGTTCATTGGTGGGTTTAGGTTTTAGGGCTTGGGGTTCAGGTTTAGGTTGAGGTTTCTCTGTCCCCCCCCCGTGGTCCGTGGCGTTTTGGGCTTAACAGGCAGCGTTTGGGGGACGGAATACCATGCGGGGGGTGGTGGGGGGGGATACCATGCGGGGGGGATACCATGCGGGGGGGGATACCATGGGGGGGGGGGGGGGGGGTCGATTACTTACACGGAACGCGGGCGCATACATAGTGAGTATGTTTCATACGGACACAGGGTATTAAGGTTTCTCTCAATGATGTGGATCATGAGGTGTATGCAGGTGCTTGGGGTTTTGCAGGGGATTTGTTCCTCGATGTCGGCTACGAGGTGCATCGTGGTTTGCCGGAGCTTGCCTATTTGGTTTACAGGAGAAAGAAGACTTGTGGTGTGTGGCCCTTGAGATGTCTTAAATTCGGAGACATGTATATATAGATATACACACGTGTGTATGTCATTTTAACAAAGCTAATATGGTCATTCTTATTGTGATTCTTTTGAGTCTGATTATTATTAGTATTACGATTATTATTCTTATGATTATTCGTATGATGATTACTACTATTACGATTAGGATTGTTTAACATTATTATTGTTATTCTGTTTAAAATATAAAATATTACTATTTTTTATTATCATTATTATTATTACTATTACATATTCAGCAGGGGTTGGCCTTCGAATTTAGGGGTGGATTTGCGCCGGCAATGACTTTGGAAGTGCCGGGTGTAGATTTGGATGGGTGTGGAGCCGGAGGTTGACCTTCGAAAAGTTTACGGTTGGGGTTCGGATTTCGGAAAGAAGCTTTGCTCTCCAGGTATCCAGTCGACACGAAGATTTGGGACAGTGCATCTCAGATGGAGGGATGCCATTTGTAGCTCCCTTGCGGCTTACACATCAGAACAACACCGATCTTTCGGGGTGGGAAGCCAAACGCATATCAGAAAAGGATGTCGGAACGGATTCTGCCGAAGTGTACAGAAGGTAATGGCAACAGCTCCATAAGGGAAAATGATGTTGTGCCTTCGCTCTTCTGCTCTACAGCGCTGCAAGTTCTGGTCGCATACCCAACCATTACAGAAGCTTGCCCATGTCATGTGCCATGGGTCCTCCTGCTCCTGGCGGGGCACCATCGAGTGCAAGGCGAAGACCCGAAGCCTCGCAACATACACGCACACACACACAACAAAGACTCTCTTTCACACACTCGGCTTGGCATGAGCACATGAGATGCAGATCACTCGATTGCCAAGACGAACCAACATGGGGTGCTTTCGGGCGGCCACGCAGGTAGGTGGTCAAGGCACCCCTCTAGTGCATGGAGCTTCGCTGCACCAGGCCAAGTCATGAATCCTGGTGGCCCCGCTTCTGAAAAAAAAACAACGAAAGCAACAGGCAAACTGCCAAAGTCAACATGTCTGGGTTGCCACACACACTCACACACAAACGATAACAGATGAGACGCATGGGCCTGCAAAAACATCTGCTGTCAATCGCTTGTCCCTGAAAATGCTAACGTCTTACTTCAGATGCTCCGTTTCGTTTACAGCGCGTACACACACGAAAAAAAGGGGGTGTCCACAGGATGTACTCGCAGATGCTGGATGCTGGACAGATCAGACAGAAAGTCAGTGTTCAGGGTGTCGTTTTCCAGACCTGCGTGACTGCAGGAAGGAGAGTCAAGAAATCGGGGCCATCTACAAGTGCACAAAGCAAAGTTACGGACCTTACCATACCGCACGGTCTTTTGGGGGTTTACTGTCCCATACAAATCTGCAATATTATATAGCGGGCTGTGCATTCCATGGTCGCCATGTGTTGCCCTTGCCCTTGCCTAGGGCAATCGGATCGTCGCACCACGCCCGGTCGGCCGAAGGAGCGCACGTCATCCAAAGGCGCCAAGGACTGCGAAAAGAGCAAGTGCAAAGAGGAAGCTGCGAAGTTGCGGGTATCTCTGTGGGTGACTTTCCCCATCTCTGCCCTCACCCATTGTTTGCGCTACTCGGAAGTACTTAGATGGCACCCAACCAGCAAGCCCTAAGTTGCTGTAGTCGAAAGATCCAACGGCCTGCTTCCGATCGGACTATATAGCTGCTTAAAATTAGTCGCCTCGAACATCAGCACTCCAAGACTGATCCAGTCACTGTTGGTATCACCCATGTGGGAACATCGGGGGGTGGGCACTCCCAGGAAACTCTGCAGAATTCTGTGGAAGGGCAACACTGCCGCGCGGCACAGGCCACAAAGGCGTCATTCTATGACTCACCCTACCTGCCCCGAGAGTTCAAAATATTATGCTTGCAATCAGTAGCGAACGCATAATAGATTTTGGTCTAGTGCACTGGATTGCACTGGGAGGGCAGAACCCTTTTTTTTTGCTAAAATGTCCTAGCACATGACAGTGAAGAAGATAGCAAAAGATAGCACACGTAACAGCATAATAGAGCAACTTAGGTAAGGAAAGTGCCAAGAAGAATCCACCTCGAACAGCTGCGTGATATCCGCAATGCCCGGCAGGAACACGATGATCTCGGCTTCGAGGAGAACACTAGCAGCTGGATTTGACGAAGCTCCGGACCAATCAGCCACGAAAAAGTTCACTCTCGCAGGGCTTCCTCAGAAGATCAGGCGCGGGCTGTGCATCCAGGTCTTGCCAGCTGTTGTACAAGAGAGCAAGTGACCTGTGCTCATAACGAAGATCAAGTCACGGGTTTTCAGGTTCCCCCATGTACTTTGCACTAAACGACATGTAAGCTGAACCATCCCCCATCGCTGACTGGAGGCTGCCAATTTCTTGATGGGAACACTCCATCCCCCCAGGCGGCAAACAATTCAGCCCGGAGGCCTCCAGCAATCCTTCTGAGATCTGTGGCTCCACCTGAACAGCTGATCAACGATTAAGCCCAACAAGCTTTCTTAACGTGTGCATCCGGATAAGGGAGGCACTCGCTTGAAGCTGGCTTCATCACCTGGCTGTGTTCAGGCCCGGCTTGAACCTACAGCTACGAGTAGCAACTTTGGACTCAGACTTTCGAAATCTCCGGGGATCACCAACCATTCGAGAGCCTACAACACCCGTCGTACATGTACATGGTTCCCCGTGGCGTGGAAAAGATCATGCCATGCCTCCGCGACCATCCTTTTTGCCCTTGCCTTTACCTGGCCAACAGGACAAGGATTCTTGAAATCATTCGGGAGCCCACTCTCTACACTCAGCACGCAAGCTCGATCAAGTGCTTGCACCAGCAGCACATTTGCTTTCTCACTTGTGCCTCGACCCTTTGACAGCCCCGCAAAAGCCTCACAACGGTGCAGCAGGAAGCAAAAAAAAACTCCACACAGGGCCATCAAAGTGGTCTCACTGCGATAACGCTCTGATCGAAACGGGTTTAACCTGTGCCTGCAAGGCATTCTCCAAACTCCGTCGGTCTTTGGAGTCGCTGAAGTCGAAACTTGGCTGCATTCCGAGGCTCTCCAATGCTGAGCAAATTGGCACAGTAGAGTGCGTAGATGTGCGTAGATGCGCGTAGATGTGCGTAGATGTGCATAGAATCGCATACCACTCTCTGCCCACTTCTGAGAGCAAAGTCCCAATCACACCCACGGTTCATGAAAAAGCAGGTCATCGACTTCAAGATGCAAGTGCCCAAATTATCACTTTAGCACTGATATTGCTCCGTGTGCCCTCGCCATGATCTGGATCTATTGGCATGATCTCACTGCACTCACACCCGCGACTACGCTACGTGCACGAATGTGTTGGATATGGCTGAACTCAGATTCTGAGTAGCCGACTGCTGCTGCAAGTCATCCAGGAAGAGCTGCTCGACTGGATGACACCGAGCACCAACTGCTAGAACCTCCGGAGGCCTTCGGGCGACTCGTCCAAAACAGAAAATTACGAGATGCTCAAGGCTGCTACAATCAACAGTAGACAGTAAACGTGTCGCTACCAATACAACGTATGTCCACCAAATATCTCCGAAGCTCGGAGATGTGCAGTGATCTGGTGTTCCACCACCCCCCTCCCCATCCTCAAAACATGATGATAGCTTTCCCCTCACATCTTTGCTTCTCCAGGCCCTGGAAGAGCACCGCCTGGAAAACGAACAAACGAGTAATAAACCAATTCTAAGGAGTTTTCACAAAAGCCGGAATGAAAAGGGACGGGGAGGCATTCGAAGGCGGGCAGCGGTCGGGGCCTTCCGAAGGGATGAAACACATAGCAGATACGTGCACACAGCATGATTGTTGATATCCGTTGATGAGCTTGCTGAAGACTGCTTTGATCTGCCCTCACTTAAGGTGTGCGATGCAATAATCATTGACCCTTTTTTGTGTCTCCGCAGGGACCACCGGGGCGAACATCAGCAGCATTCGCAGGCCACACATAAAGGTTCGAGCGGCCATTAAACAGAACATTGAATCATTGAGAGGCTACTGTACTCAGTGCTTAAAGTTGGGGTCTGCCAGAGGTCATGGACGGGCACCCAAAGCCGCTGCCTCTTGGGCTGACCCGGCCTGGGTCGAAGACGCTACTACTGAGACGTGAAGGAATGTGAGTTGTTCAGATTTTTCAGGTCGGCAGGACCCGATAAGAAGACTATGAGTCACCTGGGCATTGAGATTTCATTGTCCGGCGACTTCAGTTATGCAACAGTACTTTGCTGGGTGATGTTTGCTCGAGTTCCGGCAAGCTGCAGAAGGAATTGGATTGTTCCTTTCCGACATACGTTTCGCAATACTTTGGCTGGCGAAGGCGGCGAAGGGAGCCGGGAGAAGCCCACGCGCAATCACCTTCAAAATGCAGTAGCATCCGAAGAATGCGACACGGAGAACACACACACGACCACACACATCTGTGATGTCCAACAGACCTGGCAAGCACCTGCTTCAACAAATATGTTTCTGGTTCAATGATGTTCAATGGTGACAGAAGTGTTGCTCTTATGTTTTGTTTCGGGTTTATTTCGCCATTATCCTGGTCAGCCAGCCGGGAGATGGGGTCCGGCCTTCTTCCAGGGTGCAGCGACGCAAAATAGTCGGCAAAAAGCGTAGCCTCAACGACAGGCTGATGCTAAGCGCGACCCTTACGACGTGCGAGCGATGTGCGTGAAGCCCCCAACAGCAAGGACCAATTGAACTCAACTTAGCCTTGGGACCCACGAAATGGCGTGTCACGCGACAAGACCTTGCCCCTGCCTGCTTCCAGTCTCCATACCCTCAAGAACACTCCGAATCAGTCTAAACCTCTGGTGACGGATGCAACGTGCTGCTTTCGGACTCGGCACCTGCGGAGGTCACAGGCAGCCATCGGTAACGCATCTAGGGCGTGTGCTTGAAGGGTTGCTGACATCACGACGAGTTTCACCGTGGGGCAGCAATGCCTCAAAACAGCTTCATCCCAGATCAGTCTCACCAAACTTGACGGAGCCGCGGGTACAATTGATAACAATGGTGTTAGCTGCTGGCTGTGTCAGCCATGTCCGGATAGTGTGTCAACGCATCACCAATTGCATCTGTGAGCCATGCATTAACAACTTGATGACCAAGGAAAGGAGGTCAGCGTCCACACCCCGCTCGTGCACCTGTCAGGCAGCTGGTGCGGCAGATTGCGCACATTTTTCTGAATCTTGCTGGGTGCTTCATATGCTGCTACTCATATGAACAAGTCCATAATCCCGATCCCGCATTGGACAAAACATTTTGCGGGCGACCTGCGTTATCCCGTGGACCTGGTTCATGTCTCTTGCGTCTTGAGTGTTGGGTCATCCTAGCTCAACTTCTTTCACACTACTGGGACCGCAATGTCACCGAAAGTGCCGCCGCCGCTTGCCTCCCCTCAGACCCGTCTTCCACCGCTCGCGCTGCAGTCCAAGAGCGAAACCGGTCAAGCAAAGTGGACCCACACCCAACCCTCTTCAATGCCTTCCTCTTCCTCATCCTCTTCTTCTTGCTGTTGCTCTTGCTTTTGCTCTTCCTCTTGCTCTTTCTCTTCCTCTTCCTCTTCCTCTTCCTCTTCCTCTTCCTCTCCCTCTCCCTCTTCCCCTTCGTCTTCATCCCCAACACCCCGCGTTAGAATCACTTCTTCTCAGTGGGCAGGGGGATTCTACCAGCACCTTTTCTCTCTTTTTAATCTTCCTTTCGCTAGGGCGTGCGAATTGGTGGCGTGACCATGGCCAATGACCGACCCCGACAAAAAAGGATCTTACTTGGGCACGCGGCCACGTCCCACATTGTGACAAGGTTTCTTTCCATCATGTAAGTAGACACTTTTTCGACTGATACGACCTTTGTAAGTCGCTCATGATCTGTCAAGCTTTGCGTGATGTCTGCAAAGCGTCGAAGAATGTCAGATGTTGGTTCCCAACCATCAGCGGACAGCTCGGCCGAGAGATCGTCATTTGCTGCCATTGCGATGCTGTTTGAGAAAGTGTTCACACAGCAAGGCAGCTTCGTGCGTGTACTTCTTCCTGCCATCATGGCCATACACACTCAGCATGCCTACATGTTTACTTCAGTGTTACTTCCTACAAGGCAAGCTAAGTACTACGATGAACAGGCGCCCATACACGGCAGCGCACCAAGGGCACCCCTTTGGGTTGCTTTGTTGCATTTTCCAGCCGACTTCCCATGCCAACCTCTCCCAATCGGTCCGGCGGCATGATGGTGCAACTCACGCCTAGCCCATTCTAACTTCTGAGGTTCCATGAAGCACAGGGGATTGAGTGCACACTTGAAAGGATCATTGTTGGCTCTTCCTCTTGATGAGTCAGTCTGAGCGCCCCCGAACTTGAACTGTCCTGGCCCAAGGTCTGCACCGGGAAAACAAAACTTGCCCGTGCCACGCCACGACATGCACATGGGGCCTCGTCTAGCACCACGTGGGTGTAGCGTTGGTAGTCCTCACAGCAAGCTACCGTGCACTACCACTCTGACTGCATGCTGCATAAACCGACCGAATCTCACAAGCCTTGCGGTCCTCTGGGTTGTTGACCAAGCGCTGCAGAAGGTATCCCACAGTGACGAAGCACAGCTTGCCATTGATCGTGTCGCCGCTGGCGTGCTCAAAACATCAGTTCAAACGCGAGAGTGCACAGCCTAACTTTGAACACAGCTTGCTGGCGTCGGCATACTTTGTCACTTCAGCTTCGACAGAGACCGAGACTGCGGGAGGTAAACTTTGTGCACGCACAAAGAGCACATGTATTGCACTGCATCCCAAGCAACAGCCCAGGCGACGGCTGGTTGACCAACCGTGGCCAGCTGGCCTGATTCTGTAGCCAACGGTCCCCTGGCCAATCTCCTTTGGGAAGGCTGCATAACTGAACGAAAGCCAACATCCTCGACTCTTCGCATTCCTGCCTAACTACATCGATAGACGAAGGAAAACACGTGGGAACTGCAACAACACTGGGCGCTGCATCAGCCAGATCTGTAGGGGAACAGAAGGTGTGTATGCCGCAATGTCGGCAGGTGCATTTCTGGTTTTTGCCTTTGATTCGGCGGAACATGGTCCTCCTTTGTTTGCCGTGTGGCTGGAAATTCTAGCAATTGTGACAGTCGTCTGAGAATGCTTCCAAGGTTTTCTTTCTTTGCATGTCCAACAGGGCGCGGTCGGCCACCTTGTTCCTCGAATGTCTTGTAGAGTTAACGCAGTCTTTGCAAAGCGAACCATGCTCTTTCACTGGGTCTACTCCTCGCCCAGAACAGAGGCGACGCGCTTGGCTAGCCTGTAGCAACGAAGCCACAATGACACGCAAAGTCTCAGCACAACGACTGGCTTCTCTAACAAAATAGACTGCCATGGCTTCACCAGGCTTTCAGTCAGAAGAGCTTTTGAGGTGCGAACGTCACAGCGGCCATCCGCCTGACTATCACAAACCAGAAGCTGGAGCCCTGACGGACACATTATGCTGGATCAGAGTGTTCAACCGTTTCGGGCCTTGGCTGTGTAACCACCATGCGAATCCTTGCTGCAGTCGAACATGCCATCAGAGCATTCTCATCATATCTATGTCAGGCGGTCGAGTGCACATGTGTCCTATGGGAGCAACAACCACCCAAGACCCACAAGCCAAGCTCAAACAGTCTACGGTAGCCAACTCGGGCAAGTTGACGGACCCCAAGTGTGCTG